TCACAGAGATTCACCTGCCTCTGCCTCCCAAGTGCTGGGACTACAGGTATGCAGCACCACACCCAGCTTTATTATTTTTATTTTGTGATTACAAGTGTATAGCCTGCATGCATGTGAGTGCACCTGTATTGTGCAATGTTGTGGAGGTCAGAAGAGGGCTTCAGATTCCCCTGGAACTGGAGTTAAGGACAATTCGTAGCTGCCATGTGGGTGCTGGGAATCGAACCCAGGTCCTCTGCAAGAGCAGTCAGTGCTCTTAACTGCTGAACCATCTCTCCAGCCCCTATTTTCAGTCTTTAAGACCCCTTTAATCCCAGCACTGAGGAGGCAGAAGCAGGTGGATCTCTGTGAGATTGAAGCCAGCCTGGTCTACATAGTGAGTTCCAGGCCAGCTGGGGCTATAGGGAGACCCAGTCTCAAGAAGAGTAGAAAGCACTCTCCAGGGGACTTGAGTTAGTTCCCAACACCCATGCTGAGTGGCTCGAAACTGCCAGTAACTCCAGCTCCTGGGGATCTGATGCCCTCTCTGGGCACCTGCACACACATGGCATACACTCACACAGACACATACAGATAAATTTCAAAAATGGGGCTGGAGAGATCGCTCAGCAGTTAAGAACCATCCGTAACTCCAGTTCCAGGGGATCTGACACCGTCTTCTGACCTCCTTGGGCACTGCATGACATAGGTGCACTTACACACATGCAGGCAATACACTCATACACATAAAATAAAAAATAGTAAATATCAAATAAATAAAATTTAAAAACATATATATGTACATATGCAAAGCAAAAAAAAAAAAAAAAAAAGACTGGATTGATGGTGCATACCAGGAATCCCAGTTTGAGGAGGTAGAGACAGGACTGAAAGCTCAAGTCCAGCCTGGGTTACACAGTGAGACCCGTCTCAACTCCTCCTCCCTACCCAAAAAACTTCCATTTGGAAATTTCAATCAATGGGCTGGAAGACGGCTCAGTAGTTAAAAGTGCATACTGCTCTTCCAGAGGATCTGAGTTTGATTCCCAGTACCCAAGTTGGGTGGTTCACAACTCTAGCTCCAGGAGATCTGACATTCTCTTCTGGCATTCACAGGCACTGCACTCATATGCACAAAGCCACACACAGACACACATAATTAAAACATTAAAAAAAGGAAACTTCAATAAACCTACAATACCTAGAAAATCAGTCTGCAAGACCTCCAATTACAAGGATACCAAAAGGTCTGCCCAAGGCCATTTGATGAGAAAAGAATCAGAAAGAAAGCAAAGAACCTCCCAATTCCCATCAGATGGCACTGGCTCCTCCAAGGACACCTCATTCTAAGGGATCAATCTGGCTTTTTTTGTTGTTTTGCTTTGTTTTTGAAACACTATGTAGCCCTGGCTAGCCTGGAACTTACTATGTAGACCAGACTGGCCTCGAACTTGCAAAGCTCCACCATCTCTGCCTCCTGAGGGAGTGCGGGGACTAGAGCTCTTGTGCCACCATGCCCAGCTCCATCCGGCTTTAAAAAAATATGTATTTATTTTATGTATTTTGCTTATGTGTATCATAAGTACATGCAATGCCTGCAGAAGCCAGAAGATGGAGTCAGAGCCTCTGGAACTGGAGTTATGGATGGTTATCAGCTGCCATGTGGCTGCTGGGAACCAAATTCAGGTCCTCTGCAAGGGCACCTTTTGTACTGAGGGTCTAGCCAGGCCTCAAAGGTCTGGAAATGAAGGCTAAAAATCAGGCATTCATATATCTCTAAAACACACTCCTTGCAGCACTGTGAAGACACACCTCCTGTTTAGCTCCTGCATACGTGGGCACTGCTATGGTAACACTGATAATTCTGCCCAGCCCTTCCCATAGTTTTAGTGGGCAAGATGTTAAAATAAAATTATGTTATCTATAGGGCCAGAAACTGATACACACTAAGATCCAGCTGACATAACGGCTATGTTTTGCTGACTTCAGCTCACACGGGAGAAGACTCTGAGCTTTTGGGGGCAGTGAGATACAGGATATAGGTGTGATTCAGCACTCATTCAAGTCAGCTATGATTATTTTCTAGTCTGTGAGGCTCTCACTATGGAGCCCTAGTTGGCCTGGAACTAGCTATGTAGACCAGGCTGGCCTAGAACTCACAGAGATCTGCCTGCCTCTGACTCCCAAGTGTTGGGATTAAAGGCGAGTGCCACCACAGCCCACCTGGACTGCATGCTTTTTAAGAGCAGGCACTGGGTCATACCAGTCTTTGTAATGAGTCCATGTATGAAAAGCCCTGAACATGATCCTGGGATATAACATTCACTTAATACTTGTTCAGGTAAGACCCCTGTCTTCAACTGACAACCGCCCCCCCCCCCCCCCCCCCCCCCCCCCCCCCCCCCCCCCCCCCCAGTACTCACTGGGCATGGAAATCCACAACAACTGGTGTCTGGCTGTTGACAACTCGGTCTTGAAAGTCTGGTCCATCCTGGACGTTAAAGGTTGTTGAACAGACTCTGGTGGTGTATACCAACCGGGCTGGGCTGAGTGTTACTGTCAGGCCAGCAGGACTACACTGCAGGGTCAGCAGGGTCCTGGAGGTGAGGGGGACACACCCACCCTGAGAGGGCTTCCTGGAGATGACTGAGGTCAGGAACCTCCTCAGAAGAAGACGCTGAGCCATCTGTGAAGGAAGGAGGCAGGAAGAGCTGGGGCATAAACAGGGAGTCAATACACCAGGGAAACAAAAGTATTTGAGAGTTCTGAGGAACTGAGGAATACACAGAGGTGGAAGCAAAACGCAAGGAAATACTGACTGTAACAGGTTTCTGAGGGCCAGGTGTGGCTGTGATTCCAGCACTTAGAGGGCTGGGGCAGGAGGATTAAGTTCAGACAGCCTGGGCTACACAACACTTGTCTCAAAAGACCCCAAAACAACACAGTATCTAGAGGTGAGTGAAAATGAGACTCACTGAAAGGGGGGAAACAATAGGCCAGGGAAACTGGGATACCAAGCAAAGAGACCGAGACCAAGGCGGAATCACGAAGGAGGGGTGCAATAAGGAACCAACATTTGTAGAGCACCTAAGGCTCACGAGCTTTACAGTCCTAGCTCGCCCTGGTCAACACTAAGGAAGTTGTTACAATACCGCCCACATTAGACGGCAACCCAAGTCTCAAGTGCGTTGCCACGCTCAAAGTACCCACTTTCTAAATGACAAACTGCAACCCAACGCCTTCCGTAAAGTCTTTATCGATTGCTCTTTTAAAGTGTTTTAACGGGAAATTAAAGAGGGAAAAGGAGTTGTCGAAGGACGAGCAAAAGGGAACTGCAACTACAGAAGGAACTACGGAAGCACGCACAGGAACAGGATGTGGGGGAACCAAAGGAGAAGGGGCATGTGTACGGAGGGAAGCCTTAGGGAGGGACAAGTGTGTGGAGGGAACTAGAGAGACAGGCGCACAGAGTCCCGGACGCCAACGCCGGATCCCCACCTCCGGGCCTCCACCCGCTTGTCGCCACCCTGCGCACTTGCGCACCAAGACCGCGCCTCGAATCGCCCTGGGGCCTCCTACCTCCCTGCAGCGCGAGCAGAGAGACGCACAACCCAGCCCGCCTGCGTCAAGGCACTCCTGTCGTCACTTCCTCAGGGGCGGGCCTAACGTCACTTCCGGGAGAGGCAATCTGACTCAACTGGAGAGGCGATTCGGTATTTTCCGCCAATAGGGACGGTGGCAGAAGGGACCGGTGACAGGGCGGGACCGGAAGTGGTAGGTAGTCCTGGGGGAGAGACCGGAAAAGGGGTGGGACCAGTGAGGGAGAGTAGATTAGAGAGGAAAGGGCGTGGCGCTGGGTCAAATTCCCGCTGCTTTGCCCTCCAAGGGCACCGCCCACCCCTGGATCGGGTCTCCTAATGACTCCTGAAAGAGTCTGGTCGCTTCACTTTACAGACCAAGAAGCTCTGTTCCTCAAAAACATTCTGTGCCTTGAAGGAAAAGACTCCCGGGCTGGGGATGTATATCAGTTGATAGAGTGCCTAGCACACAGAAGCCTAGATTCCATTCCTCCCACCACATAAACCAGGTGTGATGACACACACCTATAATCGCAACACCCAGGAAGTGCAGGTGGGAGGATCAGGAGTTCAGGACCATCCTTGGCTACATAGTGAGTTCGAGGCCAGCCTGGGATACGTGGGAATCAAGAAGCTGCTATATGGCCTTTGGCCTTTGCCTTGTCTGTCAGGCATAAATGTATGACTTGTTGGTCACGAGCACGTCTCTGCCTCTAAGGGCTGGCCTTGTTTCCAAGCTCATCAAGCTTTTCTCTTTCGAACTGTTGGAGAAATGGGCTTGCCTTTGAGGCCCCAGGTAAAGTGTGGTCACCTGTGAATCTGTGTGGGCTTGGAGCTTTTCCTTTGTTCTCATAGGCATGCGCAATAGCGTTCTAAGTCAGAGGGGTTATGAAATGTGTCTAAGTCAAGAGTCAGGCAATGCTGGGGATGTACTACAGTGGTAGGCTGCGAGCCCAGCATGTACAAGGCCCTGGGTTCAGTCCCCAAATAAGTAAATAGATACATTAAAAATAGATGTATTTACTTAAAAAAAAAATAGCAGGCAAATTGGCAGGGCCCCATCTGCCACTTCTTTACCCTGCCCTCCAGCTAGCGGGAATGACCTAGTTTATTGAAATGTCTCCTTCGTCCCTGCATTGCAGTTGTTGATGGAAAGCTTTCCCAGAATTCTCCATTTGAGGAAGTGCTACTAGATGCCCGGTTCTGCATTATCTCTGGCCCCCTTTCCTGTCTCTTGTAGTGGGGGCAAGTCCTCTGTATCTGCCAATCACCACTCTCCATGTTCTGTTTCTGTTTTTGTTTTTCTGTATCCTTTTTTTTTTTAATTTAGAAAATTTTTATGTGTATGAATGTTTGCCTGCATGTTTGGGTACCATGCCCCTCCCTGGAACTAGAATTATAGATGGTTGTGAGCTGCAATGTGAGTGCCAGGACTCAAATCTGGGTCTTCTGTAAGAACAGCCAGTGTTCTTAACTGCTGAGCTATCTGTACAACCCCATCTACACTCAATACCAGCTGGCCTGGAACTCACTGTGTAGACCAGGCTGGCCTCCTCCTCGCAGAGGTCCACCTGCCTCTGCCTCATAAGTGCTTGGACTAAAAGTGTGCACCACCACTCCTGGTCTCTTTCTTTTTCTTTTCTGTGTATGAGTGTCTTGCCTGCATGTATATACATGTACTCATGTCATGCAATGCCTACAAAGGCCAGAAGAGGGTGTCAGATTTTCTGGAACTGGATTTGAGGATGGTTAGCCACCATGTGAGTGTGCTGGGAACTGAACCTGAATCCTCTGCAAGGGCAGTCAGTGCTGAGCCATCTCTCCATTCCCCCACCCCCGAGATAGGGTGTCACTTTGTAGCCTTGGCTGGCTTGGAGCTCTTTGTGTAGACTACACTGGCCTTGAACTCACAGAGATCTGCCTGTCTTTGTCTCCTGACTGCTTCATTTTTGTCCCTCTTTCTCCCTCCCTCCCTCTCTCTTCCTCACTCCCCCCTCTTTCTTTCATTCACAGGGTCTCATGTATCACAGGCTGGATTTTATCTGGTGCTGGGAATCAGACTCAGGATTTCATGCCTGCTAGGCAAGCGCTCTACCAACTGAGCTGGTTCTCATATTCCACTGTCTGTCTCTATATTCCCCAGTCCATTACCTCCCTCAGGGCTTGACATCACAGGAGATGCCAATGACTATAGGAGATGCAGCAAGTGACCCAGATTGAGTCTTCTGACTACAGATTAATTTTCCTTATCACACCCCATGGCCCCATTGTTCTCTTCGAAAAATCATTGTCATGCTTTCACCCAGCTCATCTTGGCCACATTTCGTTCTTATTTATCCTCTGTCCAATTGGCAGGTCAGGTGCTGTGCAGGGCTTTTCCTCTGGGTTAGGGTGAGGGAATCCTTGGAACAGATTCACTTACCCTAGCCAGTCACTGCCATGTCAGCCTTCCACTTAGTAGTCTCTTGCCCCCTGCAGGCAGAAGGCTAGGTTAGGTCTGGGCAGGCATGGCCCCTCTACCCTGTCTGACCTCTTGTCTTGGTCTCTGTTCTCACCCAGGATGAAGACCCATGGTGGGGTGCCCAGATCTCAGGGCTCCTGAGGTCAGTCTCTCTTGCTGCAGCTGTTCCTGATAATGCCAGGCACCATCTGGCAGGAGTGCTCCTGCCCTGCCCATTTCCATATCTGTTTTTCTCTGTCTCCAGCACTTTCTCTTCCCCAGCCACCTATCCATCCTATTCAGCATTTTCAGAGAAGTTTCTAGAGAGCCAATTTCCTTGCTCAGTCTGCATTCTGAATTCTAAAACAGGACCAGGTCTGCTTGCTTATTCTATGGTCACCTCACCCCTGTTGGCCCAGGTGCCCCACCTGAGAAATGGGAACAGTGTGTCTTCCTTAAAGACAGACTGAATGTAGCAGCTGGCCGGGTGTCAGTTCCCTTCCGTCCAGCAAGGAGACAGCCTGGGGCACAGGCCGAGCTCTCAGCAGGCCCCTCAGGCATTTGGTAGCTCCTATGTCCAACCTATCCCCGGTCTGGTTGGTTCACTATACAGATTCAGGACACAAGTGTGAAACAGAAGGAAGGAAGTCAGGACAGGCAGTCCCAAACTAAGCTTTTGATAGTATCTTTCAAATTGTGGGTTACAAGCCATCAGTGAAGCCAATGTAGTAGTAGTTGTGATCAGCTTTTTAAAAATCAGAGGACTGGGGATGTGGGTCAGTCAGAGTGCCTGCCTACCATGCACAAGGTCTTGGGTTTGATCCCTGGTACTGCATAAACTGGGCATGGTGAACGTCTATAATCCCACCATGTGGGAGATGAAGACAGGAGGATCAGGAGTTCAAGGTTATCTTTGACTATATATCAAGTTTGTGGCCAACCTTAGGCTACCTGAGATCATTATCTAGAACAAAACAAAATAATAAAACCAAATAGAGCTGAAAAAACAGCATGACCTAGATGCTACCAGCAGTTCTTTGAGAGACCTTTGTTCCTGTGTGTGTCTGCATGTCTCCATGACCTAAACATGTTTTTTGAGACATGGTCTTGGTGTATGGCCCAGCCCAGGCTTGCCTCAAACTCATGATCCTCCTGCCTCAGCCTCCTGAATGCTGAAATCATAGGCATGAGCCACTACACTGGGCCTTTAAAAAAAGTTTAGTGCCAGGCGTGGTGGCACACACCTTTAATCCCAGCAGAGGCAGGTGATCTCTGTGAGACTGAGGCCAGTTAGGGCTCCAGGGAGACCCTGTCTCAAAAAGACAAAAAGACAAAAAAAAAAGATTTATTTTTATTTATGTGAATGTGTATGTGCAGTACCCCAAGGAGGTCAGAACAGAAGAGGGTGTTGAAGAAACTGAACTCAAGTCCTCTGGAAGAGCAGCAAGTGCTCTTAACCACTAAGCCATCTCTCCAACCCAAGGTAGAAAATTAAAAGTTTTTCTTACTAGGGGTCATATGGTCAAAGGGCCTGAAAACTCCTTATATATTGGTTACCAAACACTGGCACTGTTGTCAGCCTTTTGTGAGTTGAATTCATCAAGTCCTGCAGTCCTGGGACTGTTGAAGCCACAACTTTCTTCTTGGAGGAAGACGCTGAGGTACATCTGAAGTCAGGAAGCTTGTCAGGGCACGCAGAGCAGGAGGTGGCGTCTCTACGGTGCTGTGCCACCCCCAGAAGACTGCCTTGGCTTTAGACTACTGCCTCCCCTCCTAGCCCTGAGGGACCTTCCAGCCAGTGCAGGGCATCTAAGGCCAAGTCCAGAAGGGTACACAGCACGCTGTAAGCAGAGGCCTCCACACGATGGCACTGTGGTATTCACATGGTTCTCTGCGGGAAGCCCGAAGTCTAGGGCGCAGCCTCCCTCAGTCCTGCAGGGTGGGACTGCAAAAGACAGGGCTGCAGGACAGTCACAGTGCAGTGATTGCAGTGATCAGGGCACCTTGAGGTAAAAAAAAGGAGAGGGGTGGCCAGCCACACTTAAGAGGGAGCACCTAGAGATGTCAGTTTTAGTTTCATGGTTTGTTTTTGTTTTTGTTTTTGTTTTTTTTTGAGACAGGATTTTACTAAGTAGCCCTGGTTGGCCTTGAGTTTACTATGTAGACCAGGCTGGCCTTGAATTCACAGATATCCACCTCCCGAGTGCTGGGATCAAAGGCATGCACCACCTTGGTCAGCCTAGTTTCCATCTTGATGAAAATTCTCTGACATTTTTCGCACTATTGCAGAATGATTTAGAATGGTGACTTGCGTTTCACAG